AATCTGTTAATATTTGCACGCAATTTACCAGTGGTGTATGAATCGTGTGGTGTGTGAATAATCTTCCACGCAAATATGTGTATCGTGACAAATAAATAAAGAAAAATATATTATGCGACTGTTCGAGTATTGAAATAAACAGTGTAATTTTAATACATATGGTAATTTGTAATACAGCTCATACATATTAAATTAATTGTAATATATAGTGCATTAGATCACGTTTAAATGTATATACTCTAATTTATCAGTGGAATAATAATAAGTATGTTTAAATGCTGTAAGTGTGGGTGAAACACGCATTGATATTATAAACGTAACGTTTCTGTGGAAGCTAATATTACAATAAAATTTACACGATGTTCTTATATACTTTAAACAAACAATAATTGATTGACTATTGAGAAATTTCTTCTCAGTATTAAATTTCGTGGGATTTCGCGACATTACGAATTCTTCAAATACATTTTCATAAGAAAAGTTGTTAAGTTCGACTAGCTCAAATAATGCGAATAAAAATGTTAAAATTTGTCCCCTTTCTTCTAAAATCAATCATAATAAAAACGATAGCAGGATTTTTGAAATTTACATTCGAATAAAACAATCCGTATGTACTATTTTCATTAAATATAAGTTTACTGTTATCTTTGTACTTTGTATGCTGTTCATTAAAAAAATTACACTCGTAAAATATATAACGCGTATAAATATCTTTTTTTCTCTTCAGAGATGTATTGTTAGAGATTGGTAAGTTAATGTATTCACTAAGTATATGGATCGGTGAATTGCTATTTTTCAAACCTGTTCCCGACACAATCTTTTGCTTGTGAGATTTAAAATTACTGATAATACTTAAACAAATACCGAGTTCATAATTTTATATTTTACGAGTTGTTTGAACAAATTTAAAACAACCGATTTGCCAAAAACGGCTTGTATATTTTGCACATCTGAATAATTACAATTTTCAAAACTTACCATATTATGTGCCACACCTGAGTATTAAAATTAAGTATTAAATACAGAAATATTATTATGAGTACCTAATATCATTTGATATTTCTTACTCAAAACCGATGAAAAGCTAGATGTAAACACATTTGGATAAAAATAGCATGTGCTCTGAATATATGAATTTCATGAAATTATTGTCATTTTTCCTGTAATAGCTACTTTAAAAAGAAAATATATCAATTATAATATCAGTACGAAATTAGATTGTATGAATAAGTGCAAGTACTAAGTAAATACATAAAACTGGTTATAAAGTATATCCTGTTGCTACACGTTGTTTCTTATGTGGATATACCCACATAAATAATATTTGACTGTAGTTTTAGTGAAGTTGTCACAGAAAAAAAAAGTTAAATCCAAAAACTCGAATCAGCTAACATGATAATGGCCGTGGTACACAGTTCGGTGTACTTTTTTACGCTTATACAACAGGAACTGATCGCACTCGTACCTGTTGTTATCGTTTGCACCTCTGGCGGTTTTCCGTCTCCCAGTCCGGATGCGGTAATCATTGTTTGTCGTGATCTATTTAATAGGCCGTATAATGATCTAAACTTATTTTTTGGAATCACGCAACCACCACCGTTTCCTCATCAGGTAATAACGATTCGTTATGGCCGTTACTGTTACGATTGCACTAACTCCTAAAATAGTTCGTGGTACGTTCAAATAGTTTATGAAATTGTTATTATAACTGTGGTGCACAAAATGAGATGTATAAAACATTACCGACATTATCATCTGAAATAACGGCCCCCTATATGCGGTAGCGGTGAAAACAACGAGATTAAAAGACAACCGGCAGTAATATTGTTTGTTATTTATTATTATTTCATTTTTTTTTTTCTGCACAAACATGCAGTCTTACAAGTGCCCTACTAAAGAACGTGCGCACGACTCGGTTAATTTGTGCGACACACGCGGTCAATAGCCACCGGAAGGTGACAAAAACTATTATGTCGGTGTTTTTTTCTTCGACATTAAGTCACCGGCTCCTATGATCATTCGTCTTACGGCTGCTGTCGCCTATCACACATTGGCATCTCTTTCGGTGCGAATTTCTTTCCATTTATGATAACTTTTTTTAGTCAAAACAATTTTTTTTCTACTTTTAATATTTCGGTTTATTTGCCGGCAATGCAGATTGTGACACGTGATGATACGTGACAATCATTGACGGTTGCCTTTGAAGTGCTCTTCGGCGCACTTTGTGGTCGCCGTCACACCGACACTGGAATATTATATTGCACTCGAGACGACCTCGATAACATGTCAAACCCGTAGCCAGGGTTTCTCTTCTTTTCTTTTTTAATGTTTTAAAGAAGAACTTTCCCCGTGTCCTTTTACGGACAAGTCATGTCCTTGGAGGCGTGTTATAAACGCACGTATGGCGGTTTACACTTCCTATGTACAGTGCGACGTAGGTGACACTGATCTATTTACGAGAGGGCGTACAAACTTTTTATTTTTTACACGGAATTCGCTGTAAAGCAAACAGCGCCCCGTCGTATTTGATTTATATTCGAATCGCCTCTCATTCTGAGGTGCTGTTCAGCGCATAACTATGACAACGGCAATTAATTAGCATTTGGCATCCAAATAGACACTGCGTCAGGGAAATTAACCTTGAGCACTACCGCTCTGAACTAGTATCCACTAACTACTCATCTGTCCTTGATCACGTCGCCCCGTGTTACGCTTGTATGTTCATTAGTGTTTTCCCGTTGTTTTCCAAGAGTCGCACATTTCCGTTATTTAGCTGATCAACGATCTTCGACAATCTCTAAANCATTTCCGTTATTCAGCTGATCAACGATCTTCGACAATCTCTAAATGTACATCGAAAGTCGCGTTAAATTAATTTAAAATAATTATAAATTAAAAATTGGTTCATTGAACTGACACGACTCGCGTCGCAATAATGTAGTCGACACTGATTTTGATGGTAGACACCCGTTGGCCGTTTATTAATGATGAAAAACACTATTAATTAGTCTTTGCGTAATATCGCGGCACTTACACTGTCGTCGGCAGTGTCCGGTATGGTCCTCGGCCGTCAAAAAGTTAGCAGCGTTGATGGCGACGGTGCGGATCGGTTCGCTAAGTCCGGTCGTGCGACACACGTCGGTGGCGTACATCCTGGACGTTGCTGCTTTGACATTGGGAACAAGACTCAACGCATCATTTGCAGCGGGACGTCGTCGGCCGTGCTTGCTGAACTTTGCACCGTGGCGTATGGCATGCGGTGTTGGTCAGTCAAACGGCCAAATACCCATAGTTGGGCCTGGTAAAGATGGCGCGGGGTATCGTGTATCACAAAGCAACCCAGGACCATGTTAGAATGTTTTATTATTCGTTTAAAACGACTTTAAATTCGATGATTTAGCACAAAAAAGAAGTAAATGAAATTTTTGAAAACATGAGTTGGGGATATAGAATACATTTTAAAATTTGAATGATTTAAAAAAAAAATTAAGAAACGCTGATGTTTAAAAAACATCAACGATAAATATGAAGTTTCAAAATTACATAAAAAAGTATAAACATTAACAAGCCATAGGAACGTTTACAATTTATGAAATCCTATAAATTCATAAAATTTAAGAAGTTAAAAAAATATTTACCATTAAGAAGCCATTTAAATGCATAAAAATTGAGAAGCTATGTAAAACATAGAACTATAAATTAATAGACCAGTAATGAGTTATAATATCTGAATTTTGAATGATTTAACAAATTTGAGATTATACCAAAGACATTGTATGTTTTCGTAATATACTTACTAGACCGATTTTTCTCAACAATTCATTAAATGATAATAAATTGTATCTAGTTGATAACTTGCCCACAAAAATTGGTAATGTTTACCTTGTCACGGTAAATCACCAAAAAAAATTACGATTTTTAAAATCGGTAAATTTCTACATAAAAATTTAAAATTTTTCTTACAACTGTCATAACTCTAGATAATTTTACCTTATATAAATACCTTAAGTATTTTTTTTCATTTTACCTTTTATCTGCCTACAGGTGAATATTAAAAATAGCAACTTTGGCACGAAAAGTTAACTTTTCCAATAAAATGAAAGATTATGTACGTGATACAAATTTAAAAATAAAATGAAAAATGAACAATTTTTTTTTATACAAATTTATTTCCCAATTGTTTGATATCATTTTTATGGACCTTTACTTGCCATCAAGGGGTAGTCAAACTAAAATTTTTTTTACAAATTTGTTGAAAAACTTATTTTCTTTAATCTGTCGTAGCTTTTTAAAAAATATCAAAAAAAGAATCAAAACAAATTTCATTAGGTATAAATTTTTTTAAATTTTATTACCTACTGGCTCACAGGAATTTCAAAATAGCAATTGTGTAAAAAATATCAGTTTTTCGTGTTATTATAATTTTCTACAATCATTTTTTTTTTGCCAATTATTTATACTTATATTAAGGAAAACAAGGATGATAGGTACTCAAATAATTCCCCTCTTTTATAAATAAATTAATATAATAATAAAAATTTAAGAATTTTCGCAGCTATTTTCGAAACATTTATTACATATTTAACCTTGTATTTTTAAAAAAGTTCAAATAAGTATTGAAATAATAAATTAATAAAAATTATATTTTTCTAATACATCAAAATCTATAAGAGCTTTTTTATGATAAATATTTGGATCGAAATACTCATAACTCGGTTCTATAAAAGACACAATAGTCTCAATATTATATTCATAGAATAATTCGTCTAAATAGTTTATATACGATTTGATATTCTCTACATTTTGACATAGTGATTTCGAAGCTATATCTGTAATTTGATCTAAGTCATCCTTACTAGAATTTTTCTTTTCAGAGCTTAGTTGTTCTAAATTTTCATCCATTAGTTTTTCATTGTAATTTATAGGAACAAATATTGGTAACAGAGTTTTCATAATTTGTTCAATATATATAATTGCTTTATTAAGTGTTAAATTAACACCTTTTTCAACCAGTGGTTTTTTAGTGGAATCTTCTAAAACTTCTATCATTTCATTGTAATTAAACCTAAATAGTTCTTTAAAGAATTTATTACCTAAAAGATAATTTTTCACATCAGTATTACTTACATTGATATTTGCAAACAATTTACGATTTATTTGCCAATATTTATTAGCAATAACCATGTGCTTTCTTATTAAATGTAATGCTACTGTTCTTATAACATTTAACATTTTTATTTGATAAATTCCTAAATTTTCCGTCCAAAGCTCTAGATAATAATAATTCAAAGCTTCATTATAACTTTTGTTGAGCTCTTTGTATATTTCTTTAAAAACTATTTCTCTTTGTTCACCAAAATTCATAATTATGTATTTCAAAGTATTTTCGTCCTTTATTTTATACAAGTAAATACTTTTTAAGGAGACCCAATTTTTTTCTGTTTCGTTTTCCAATAGAAAATTATTATGATTTTGTGTTTCTATTATCATATTGTCGATGTTTTTTAAAGATATTTTCCAATCATGTTTATTGTTACCATTCACTATCATACCATGCCTATTGCCTTCTCTACACCATTTAGTAATAAAATTATTTAATACATTTATGGTCGAAGTTATCGTTTTAGAATTCCTATCAGTCCAATTTCTATAGCACAACGAGCAATACATCAAAAACATATGCACATGCCAAAACGGCCTTATATATATCGTTTTATTTATTTTTAAAAGTGAAGCTAACATGCTTTTGGTAACTTTTTCACTTAAATGACATGAATTTATATTTTCAACCGTTTTAAAATAACTTGAAAGTAAATGCATATTACCACACGCCAAATCACAGTATAATAAATCAATGTTATTCTTTACTTTACTTTCTTTTGGTAATGAATCTATATTTAATAGTTTCTTTACAGTACTAAATTTTAATTTAGGGAAATCATTCTTCTGAGGATATTCAAATCCAGTAATCAGATTGACTGCTCTTTCAAGTTCTGAATCTGTACACGGAACTTTTCTAGAACAACATGTATTAACTTGCATTGTATCCCAGATCACCACAAATACAATACTGATAAAAAGATTAAAAATCATTTTTCACTGCTTTAATTTAAATATTAAATAAATGACAATTCATGAAAAATGAAAACTTGATTTAATTACGCGATCGGTATTGTGTATAGCTATATATAAGTTAATTTTCTATGAAAGAGGGTCATAAAAATAATTTTTTTATAAATTTAGCTTGACGATTATTTGTTAGAAACTATTTTTTACAGATTGATCGTAATTTTGAAAAGTGAACAATACTAAACTGAATCAATATTAACACTGAGTATAAAAATTTAATTTTCTATTTTTATTATTTAATTTATTAAGTTCAAAAGATAAAAATAACAAAAATACTTTAGATAGTGTTTAATTTTAAAAAATTGATGGATTATATATTTATATATATTAAATATAATGTGTAATCGGAAATGATATTATTTAAAAAATAGTATGACGAATGAAAAAGGTTTATAAATAGTATTTATCATGAAAAAATTGTATTGATCCATATATTTTCAAAAAAATTATAGCATTATAAAATTAAAAATATAAAAAAGAATTTTTATAAAAAACATGTGCTTTTTCTTTTAGCGTCAATGCGAAGCTGAGTAGGTATTAATTTTATAATGATGTGTTTTTTTTAATTTTTTTTTTTTTTGTCTGTTAACGCTCAATCTCTGCTCTTGCTGGACCGATTTTGATGAACAATACGTTCAAAAGATCACAAATCATATCTAGTAAAAAACATTACCCTCAACAATTGAAAAAAATTTTCATATTTTTTATTATATTTATAATTTTACATCATATTTATTATTTTTTTAGATACCCTAGGTATTTACCTTTTTTTGATTTATTTTTGTAAACATTTGATCTTGACAAGGGGAGTACACTGATTTTCATAAATTTACATATATTTAAAATATAAATAAATAATTAATATAGCATAGAAAGCTAAACTTATTAAAAATTTTTTGTAGTAGAAAAGTAGAGAAAAATAACATTAAAAATCGAACTAGTTTAAATCACCATTTTTTTGAGTCGGCAGAAGCGACGTACAATTGCCGAGTCGGTACCTTGTGTTTTACGCGCTTGGGTTACTACTCGTGTATAGCAAGGAATTTTTTGCATTATTTTCTTAATTCTTTTTTAGTAAGAATAAATTTTCAATTTCATTTAGATTCAATAATTTCAATAAAGATCAAGGATCCCATTACTGTAGTCGCCTCTTTGTGAGAAGAAATTTCTTGTTCAAATTAAAGTTATTTTACTATATTTTAGGTTTTAGCTTCGATGCAAAGCTGAGAAGGTATTTGTTTTTGACTATCATTTATTTTCTATTGACTTGACCTACTTTTTTCAATGATATATCAAATGATTACAATTGATAAATTTTAATTTATCAATTAAATAGTTACTTATTCCATGTTCTCCATACAGACAATTAAAATCATTCAGTTCTCATATTTTCAAAATATTCATTGACGAATCAAGTTTGATATGATAAGTTTCAAATACAAAATTAAATCATTTTACTTTGTAATTTAATAATTTTTTTACTCTATTTGTGTGTGCTACTACTAGACCATAATATTCCAAATTTTTTGGTAACAAGTTGCTATATAAATCATTTCTAAAAAAAAATGATTGTTAGTTTCTCCTGAATTAACGATAGATTTTTAAATTTTTTTAACAACTTTTTGTTGATTAGTTATTTTAGTTAAATTAAATCATTAAAATTAATTCACATCTGTATATTTTAATTGTAGAATCTTTTTAAACGCCAAAAGTTTATTATAAATGATTACTATGATTTATATTTAAGTAATTTATTACGATAAAAATTAAAACAAAAATAGAACTTTTCTGATAAAGTTACTGTAAATAGTAATTATAAAATTTGCTGACTGCATATTAATCTTAACAATTTTATTTTTTCTACTTAATGATGTCAATTTCAAACTTGTAAGTTAAGCTAAAAGTTATGGTAATAAATTCATTTTTTTTTTTATTATAAACTTTCATTTTAAGGACGAAAAAAGTAGGCTAGAAATTATTACTTTTAACATATTAAAAATAAAAATCAATAATAATTTGAAAAGAATTAATCATAAAATTTATATAATGTATAATTAAAAATATTTTGCTTTTGTAATTATCCAACAATTTCTTAGAATTATATAGTATCTACATATATGCATCGAAGCCTTTCTAATGATAGTGATTTTAATCACTGTCAGATTAAATCTATACTGGTCCAACTATGCCAAGTTCCTAATGTGCCGCGACCACACTGTGCTGGGTTTTTTTTTACTTTGACCATATTCCGAAGAACTTGTTTGTCTTAAAATTATTATTTATATTATATTATATCATACTTAATAAGAAGTTTTAGTTTAAAATTATATTTATAAAAAAAAAATGTCCATAATTTTATTTATAATTGCTTTTATTTTGTACAGGTTATAATTTTAACATATTTTTACATGTGTTTAAATTCATTGTAGAATTATCATTTATTAAAATGAAAATAACGTTTTTTGTATGAAATGAAAGCTGAATCAATATATCAGATACTTATAATTAAAAAAAAAAAAACTGTCTGACGTAGTTACTTATACTAATATGAAAAATTGTGAACTTTTGATTAGTTAATTATCTTAGTTTAATAAAATTAAGTTGACACCCTTAAAGTCGGTATAGTATTAGAGGAACGTATCAACCAAATAAAAAATTTAATTTTAAAAGAATTTTATTTAATAATTTTTATTGAATTTCGTTTTTATTCCATGTAATTTTAGAAGTACTTTAAATGAAGCTATAACTTCTAACTCTAAGAATTCTATTGTTGTAATAATCAATTGTACATAAAAATCTAAAACGATTCAGTTTGAAAAATATATCAAAGATTTCGTTCAATATTTAGAATTTAGAAATCAATGATTATGAAGACAAACTAATTTTTAGCAAAATAAATTTATTTTTAGAAATAAATACATGAATTTAAACAGTTTATTGTAGAGTAAACTGATTTAAATTTATACATTTTTTTCATACGTTTTTGTAAGTAGTGTGTAATTAGATATTAAATCATGAACCGATAAAAATTGCATCCTAGTTCTGTAAGTTATAATAAAACATTAATAAAGTTATTTATTATCAGTCATGTATTTAATGAATTGTTAATTATAAATATAACACAACTCAATGGATGCAGTTATAAATTAGAATATATTTTTCCCTTTGAAATCGCGTTAATTTGCCGATAAATTACCAAAATATCATATTAACACAATCTGTAAAACTTTAAGGAAGAGGTTTAACTATATATTTTAAAAAATAGTAGAAAAGATTTTGATTTAATTAATGTTAATAATCAACAATAGTATCACATGAAATAACTAATAGTGTAAAACTTTATTCACTCTTATTAATTATAATAATGCATTTTTTAGCTATTTATTTTTAAAGGTCAGTTAGTGTATACAAAAAAAATGAAAAAATGACCAAAATACATCTTATAACACAAGCACTAAAGATAAAAGTGACATCAGTGATATAATATTCAGATAAAAATAATTTATTAGCTTTTGAAATAAATGAAAAAAAATTAATGAGTATTAGCATTTAAATAAATAGACACGTGTTAAAGACAATAATGTAAAACGTGACTATGCTACCGTACTATTTAAATACATTACATGAATTCTTCAATAGATCGTAAGCGATCAATGACGGCGGCTAAACTGTATCATTGAACATAAAAAACGGTAGATGGCATTTCTATGGACGAACGGCAAAAGATAAAAGAGAAAGCCTAGAGAACTTTATAAAAATCAGGTTGAGCATTTGGCCGTAAAATAGTCTAGATCATAATCTAAATAGATTATTATTACTTTGTGACTGCTATGTGATAATTCTGAATGTGTGCGGCGTTTGAATATGTTTTATAGAAATCAAAAATTTAATTCATCGTGGTAATGTTAAACAGGAACCTTATTTAGATATATGTATTTTTAATATTTTAAAATAAATTTGTCAATCCTTAATAGAATATTATTTCTTCATAAAAAATCACAGTAATTAAGATTTTAATAAGAAAGTAACAAATTGTTCTTAAAACATTGTAAAACATAAAGAATAGTGAACATGCTAAAGATTATGATAAAAATATAATGTGATAAAATTATTATGGGATGTTGTGAATTATTAATTATCTTATTATTTTTTTTTTATTAAAAACCAATTATTTTTTACTAATTTTATGATAAAATGTAAAAAATATTATTTTTAAGACTCAATAAATATTTGAATCATATGGTGTGACTTATTTTTAGGTACCTTCAATATGAATGATTCGAGTTAAATTAAAGTTTATGAATAATTAAGGAGAGTTTAAATTTATACATGAAATTCATTAAAATTAAAAAAAATAATGCTATAAAAACATTGAAAAACATAAAAAAACATGGTATCAGAATTTTTAGAATTCATTAGCTAGTTAAAAAACGTAACTTTGAATGTTCAGTAACATGTTAACAANATTAAAAAAACATGGTATCAGAATTTTTAGAATTCATTAGCTAGTTAAAAAACGTAACTTTGAATGTTCAGTAACATGTTAACAATGTAACACGTACGTAATTTTCAGAGCAATTATCATGTGTCCGATAAACAAGACAACATAATCATTTTTAACAAGTAATTGACAACACTTACAGTTGTATAGTTATAATATCACTTTGCAACCACATCTCTTTGAAGATTAATATGACTAACTTCTTGGCTTAATCTCTTTTCTACGATGACATGAAACGACTAACGGCTAACGACATCAATTGTGTAAACTATAATATGTGTATGTTTACAGCTTGTGGCGTTTATTTTATAGGGTAAATATTAAAGAGACAAAATCAAAGACGGCGAGAAGATTCTCCAGTGAAGATTCTATCGCTCGAGGCCAAATATAAAACACTATAAACTGTTGGTCGTTGTATTACGTGTACAGGAACTGATTGTGAATTTGCGTAGATAATAATATCGTGAGCATCACAGTGTGGCTGTTGAAAATTTATTACCAGCCAACGCGTTTATAGAATGAGGTCATTTGTGTTCGATTACCGTGTGCTAAACCATTTT